ATAAAAAATCAGGATGCTATTTTCCTCCTTGACTGTGGGAAGGCTGAGGGGTGAAAATGAGTGTAGAAGGACCTGCTGGATAGAGCCAATAGGTGCATCGGTGACCTTCTCAGAACATTAGAGTTGCATGGCTCACAGTCATAGTCCAAGATAGCAGCTGCTTAGGATTTAGTTGCATGGAATTAGGGGTATGAGAGTAGAAGGAGACACAAGACCAGGAGAGCAGGTCCCAAACATGGAGCCTATGGAAGAGTCTAAGGGCTAAATAAGAAAGATTGATATCCTTTCCCCACCCATTCTGCCCTTCTTCTGAGTCAAGATAATCTCAGATGTCTGCAGGTCTCTGGCCTAAGGAATAGCAGACTCTGCAATGCAGCCTTCAGAGTCGGAGCATGGTAGATATCAAGGAATGCAATAAAGCATTTTCTGTCTAGGACAACAGAAAACCATGCTCATAGCAGCCCCACTCCATGCCACAGAAGGACTGAGGGATTGCCCTCCCCACTCCCTGTCTGCTCTGTCTCTCTGCCCCCTTCCACCTCCGCACTCTCTTATACATACTCTTTGCTTTGTCTGACCAACTGAAGCATAAATTTGATAACCCTATATCTTGTACATGACCTCACCTGGATTGGAATTCCACAACAGAAGGCAGCTAAGAGGAAACCAGCTAGCATATGTGAGCACTATCTAGGATGATTGCATCATTTTTTTCAGGCACAGTCCCAACCTGTCCCCTTGCCAGAGAATTAGGACAATTTTTTTTTCTGGAAAAAATTAAATAATCTCAACAAAGAGAGAATGAATAAATTGCTTCATTGGGACTGTTAAAGATACTGTCTGGCAGTAGAACAGGAAAAGGAACATTGTATACATTCTGGAATGGGGATTCCAATAAAAGTGGCAGAGAGGACTACAGATTGGGATACAGATATAAAAGAATTTCCAGAACCACAGAAAACCAATTTAGTGAAACCAAGTCTACCTAAAACCCCTACTTTGGGAACTTCCTTCTTTCCAGGAGAACTAGCTAGGAATGGAAGTATCTTTTAGAGAGCATGAAGCTACAGAAAACCTAAAGAATACATGCTTTTACTAGTCTACCTCTCCATAACTTCTGTTGTTCTTCTCCTGCCTGACATGTTGGAATATTTCCAAATACAACTTTTTTTTGTCTGAACTGAGTCAACTTGTAAATGTCAATGTTTAATAAGACTTGATTAAAGGTACTTAAAAACAGTGGAAAGCCAATTTATGGGATTTTATTCTAATATCCTAATATTGATTAATATCAGTTCATTAATATTAATATCCTAATCTGTAGGGAGGTCAAGACAGAGAGCACAGAGAACAGAGACCCTTTCCAGACAGAAGCTAGAGCAAAGGCATTCTAGTTTGGTGACTGAAAGACATGTTGGTCCATGGAGATGATCCAGTAAATGATGCTCTGTGCCATGTTTGAACTCCTTAAAATGATGTTCTCCAGCCTAGGGAGCAGCAGCCTGCCTGGCATGTCTGAATCCTGAGTATGATTCCCACAGAAGTGCAAAAAATGATGTTGCTGATTACAAATGAAACCTATCTGTACACATAAATTACTGTCACATAAGTCTTTAGCACAATATACTTCATTTTTGTAGGATACATTGGGTGTGGGGTCGGTAGGGGACTGTGGACCAGAAACTACTATTCCTCAGGAGAGCATTTGCAATGCAAACAGCACCTGAGTCCAGCATCAGAGGATTTCGGCATTAGGGCATCAGGGAAGACCCACAGATTCTCTCCCCATGGAACAAAAGATCCAGGTTCTCTATGTTATAAAAGTCTTCTTGGAATTACTGTGTTCTGGAAAATGCACAAAGCTGAGTGCTATCGCTTTAAATAATGGAGGCTGAGAAGCTCTCAGGCCACCATGACATATCCCAGCATTGGACCAGCCCCTGAATAAACTGGAAGGAAGCCTGGTCTGGTTTCAGTTGCCCGGAGCACCACCAGGGAACATCTTGAGGAGCCTGATTGGAAATAGCAGCACTTTGAGACTGCCAGACACTGGGCTCACTGTTTCCCTCTGAAAAGAGCTTTCCCTTTGCATCCCTTGCATTTGATTGCAGAGAACGCTGCTTGGAAGAAGGGGTTACACTGTTTGGCCTGGTGAGTTTTCTGGGGAACTGTGCCTCTGGGTGGTATATTCTTCTGCCTTAATGAGAACTGCCCAATTCCCCACCTCATGCATTGTGATGGAGACTATATTTATATTGGGAATGACCAGAGAATCAGGGGCTTGTTAAAATCCTCTTTAAAACTAGATGTATGTTCTCTGTTGAGAGCATCTAGAAACCCCAGGATATCCAGTTTATCCAGACCAGAAGGGAGTGAGTCCAAGATGCTCTTTGCTTCCTGGACTGAAGTTAGATTGGTAAACAGGTTAGGAATATCTTCCACCTGTAGAGGATCCAAGGATACCTTGGGTGTGGTCAGTCTTTTGTTTTTCACCACTGGGTGTCAGCAGAATAGAAGTAGGCAGAGCAGCCAGAGACGGAGGGTTCATATGTTCCAAAGCTCACAGTATGATCTGTGCATCGATTAAAATATCAGATTCCAAAGACAGGAAGAAATAAGTTGTGCTTTGCAGCATATTCACTTTTATTTGTTTATCTATTCTTTAAAAGTTTATTTGGGTAAACTTTTGCTGAGTTAAATATATTTATCTTTGTGAATTGCTTACATTAGGTACATAGTGACCACATAAATATTGGCTGAATAAATCAAAGGAAAGTCTCAGTGGCTTTAAGTAAGAGAGTTTCTAGGGCAAACCTAACCTACAAAATGACCATGGCAGGAGAGAATATACCTTTCTTCCTTGTGTTAGTTATTATACCTACATATACATTTTTAACCTGTGAGAATTTTAGGGTCTAGAATTTAGCTATTCTAGATTAGGATGGTCAGGGTTGAAGGATTGTTGTGAGGATTAAAGGCGATATAACAATAATTTAGTATAGGTGCTGCTCCCCTTCTTATTATGTTCCAGATAGGATTTAATGTTTCACATTCTCACTTTCACTTTCTCACTTTCTCTTATTAGAACACTTTCTCTCTCCTTTTTCTTTCTTGGCCATATCCAGCAGTGTTCAGGGTGTACTCCTGGCTCTGCATTCAGGAATCACTCCTGGCCAAGCTCTTGGGGTCATATAGATGCCTGGGATTAGAAAGCGGGTCAATCTGGATTTGAACTCTGGCACCTTATGGGGGTCCTCTGAGCTTCCGGGAGTGGTCCCTGAGCACAGAGCTAGGAGTAAGACCTGAGCATCTGAGCATCCAAAATGTAGTCCCCCTACCCATAAAAGAACCCACGTCGGTGTCATGCAGGGCTATCTCTCCAGCCCCATTTTGTCTCCTTTAACAATTACAACCATTTAAAATAGGCTTTCTGCTTTTAAAATTTTCAAAAAAGGAATTCAGAGTTTAGTGAAATTGAGCTAGTTTTCCAAATTCACATCCCAGAATCATAAGGTAATCAGATTTATGTGGCCAAAAGGCGCAGTGCTAAGCGTTACACATACAATCTCCCACAGATCAGCAGTAATAAGTATTCTTTTAAGTTATGATAATAAGTTTTTAAAAACTATTGTTGAAAAAAACTTTAAAATATTTTATTTAATTAAAATATATTTGGGCTGGAGTGACAGCACAGCGGGCAGGGCATTTGTGCTGCACGCGGAGCGCAATACCTACTGGGTTTGATTCCTCCGCCCCTCTCAGAGAGCCTGGAAAGCTACCCAGAGTATCTCCCCAATACGGCAAAGCCTGGCAAGCTCCCCATGAAGTATTCAATATACCAAAAACCGTAACAACAAGTCTCACAATTTGTTGTGAGACATTACTGGTGCCTGCTCGAACAAATCAATGAACAACAGGAAGACAGTGACAGTGACAAAATATATCCATATGCTATAAACATAATATATGAAGCAGTTCCTTTCAAATAGTCTAACAATGTGGAGTTACAGTACAGCAGTAAGTCAAAGGGCGTGTCTGTGTGCCTGTGCACACGAACACCCTTTACGTTAGTGGGCAAAGTCGTTTAATCCTGACAATTCTGGCTGACTAGTTCATGAATCAGAGTTCAGCCCGAGTGTCTCCTCTGGGTGCACTTGCACCACCTGAAAGGTTACCCTCCCTTCCAGTGACACTGGGCAGAGCATGACGAGGCACCGAAGAATCAGCTGATTTCCAGGTTACTCTTCCTCCACCAAATAGCCAACACCCAACCCGTGGGCCAAGGATGCCAGACTAGAATGGGAGCGAAGCCAACCCAAAGCCCGGCGCTCCCCTGGCTGTGCCCTGCTCGGTTAGGAGGAGCCAGCCCCTAAGGCACCGTGCGCCTGCTTAGTCTGCATCCTTACTTAGCCTTCATCACCACCCAAGCAGGGGCAGCACGACCAGCCCTAGTTTCCAGGGAATCCGCACAAGACCGAGCGCCGGGAGGGCGGGGAGTGGAGGCCGGGGTGGGGTACAGCAGTCCTCAGCTAAGGCGCCAGGGCGGGCTCGGGAATCCTTGGCTCGGGAAGAGGGGAGAGTGGGGGGAACGTATCCTGCCCAGGCTCCGTCCTGCAGGGCTAAAAGGGGTTGCAGCCAAGTCCTGCGTGGGTGCAGTTCGCGCGCCGGTCCCCCGAAGGCGGCCTCCGTCAGGCTGTTCCCCAGGGGGGATTAAGGAGGCGGAGCCCCAGCTGACCCGCCAGCATTCGGGGTCCACAAGCCCTACAGAGCCGGGGAGGGCTGATTGAGAGAGAGCTGCCCGGGACGCGACGCCGCGGCTTCGCTGGGACCGACTTTCTCCCGGAGTGCGTTCCGGGCTGCGAGGTTATCTCTGTGCCCCCTCCCTCCGTCTTCTCCGGGGGAGTCCCGCCTCTCAGCACAGGCTGACCCGGGACACACCCTACAGCCGCGACGCAGACGGGGCGTAGTTCCCGTTAAAGGAGAAGGCCGGCTCCCGCCCCGCTCCGACTCCGTGCCGCCCAGAGCCGCAGCTGTGGGGTCTCAGCAGCCGGGAGCGCGCGCCGGACTCTTGCCTGTGGCCCTTCCGAAGACCCCCCGACCGTTATCCCGAGGGCTGTAAGTGCTTCGGACTGTAAAGTGGAGACGATGCAGCGGAAACGTGGGCACTTCCCTGGATGGTGCCAGAAAGCGCTGGGCAGACGAAGGGCTTTGGGTTGACCGGGGTCCCCGACCCCCTTGGTCCCCAGCACAGCTGGCAGCGGATCTCAGTCTGTTTGCAGCCGCCGCCCTGGCACTCGAAGCGACCAGGGTGGAGTGCGTGCCTATGGGATGCAGACCCTAGGAGAAGAGGGTGGTGGGGTCTGAACACAGGGCTGGGCCGAGCCAGTTTTGCTTAGTTTGGAGAGGTGCTAAATATAGGGGCACTCATTGGCACCCAGGACCAGTGGTGGGCAGCCCGGGACCCTGGACTCTGGTGATCTCGCAGATGTGGCCAGTTATCCGACATTCTCTTGCCTCTTCCTGGCGCTGGCAGTCACTTGGTTTAAATTAAACGTCCTGGGAGACTCATGAAAACATTGCTTTGGTCTCCCTGAATAGTTGCTAGAGTTTGTTGCTTCGGAGAGGAATGGGGATTGGATGCTTTAAAACTGTGTTTTCAAACTTTGTCCTGCTGGCCTGAGACTCTCCTGGGCTGTGGTGGTCTTTCATGGGAGAGTGTACGTATCATCTAGCCAAATCACGGGGCCTCCAGATCCCTAAGATGGGAAGTTAAGGCTTGCAAATTGGATCAGGGGGTGCCCTAGTGCCAACAGGCTGCAACCCGTCCGGAGTTCGACCTCCACCCTCTCCCTCATCTGCTTCCCGAGACTCGGGCATCTGGGTCTCTGTTGTGGAGATCGAGACTGGGCCAGGACATAGGGACCCTTCTTATAACCGGGCATAGAGACCCTTCTTATAACCAGGCACACGAGGGTCCGAAAGCGATTTATCTGGGGCTACTCGGGGTCCTCGGGGCTGCCTGAAGAGGTGCGCAGAGGGCGGCCAAGTCTCCCGGTCCTTCCCGGTTCCGCTAACTCTGGCCTGCGGTCGGTTCCGAGGGTTCCTGGCAGGCGGGACCGGGCCGGGCCGGGCCGGGCCGGGCCGGGCGCTCCTTTGCGCCGCACTCACCTCTGGGCCTCCCCGAGGGGTCGGCGCGCGGACCCCCGCCGGGGAGATGCACCGTCCGAGCCCGCTAACTTGCCCGCGCTCCCCGCCGCGCCCTGGGGCTGTCACTCTGGAGACTTCCCTGAGTCCGGCGGGCTGGACGGCCGCCTGCTGCCCTCTCCCGGCGGCCGCGGGGAGGCCTGGGGCCCCGACGGGGGCGGGCGGACCCTCCCCGCACCCCACCCCGCCGCTCCGCCTTGGGACTCGGCCTGCCGTCCAGCTGCGCCCTCTCTCCCCCAGGCAGAAGCCCCCGCGCCCGCCGCCAAAATGCTGCTCCTGCTGCTGAGCATCATCGTCCTGCACGTCGCGGTCCTGGTGCTGCTGTTCGTCTCCACCATCGTCAGCGTGAGTCCCGCGGCGGGCAGGGGCCGGCTGCGCCCAGGGCGCACCCGCGCAGGGGCTGGGAGGGCGGGCAGCGGTGCCAGAGGCATCAGGGAGCGAGCCCCTGCGGGGGGGTGGACGAGAAGCCCCCCCAAGCCCCAGAGCCTGCAGTTCCTGGCAATGTGCCACTTGTCGCTTGTTTTGAGCAAAGCAGATTTGGGCTGGGACGGAAGCCAGGCTGGAGCAGGCCTTCTGGAGCAAGGCTGCAGGGACTGCAAAAAGCCTTCCAGCGCCCCTACAGCGCTCCGACAGCCATTTGTTGAATGCTTTGCATTTTCCTTAAAGCAACTTCTTGAAGGAAGGAAATGGAGTATTTATGAAAGTTTCTCTACCCGCCCCCCAAATGTCAGAGGTCAGATGGGCGCTTGGTTCATAAAACACTAGGACTTGAAACCGGAAGGTTAAATTTGGCTTTTCCGGAACATATAAACTTTTCCGGAGTTTATAGTCCCAGATCTGCTTTCGGGGGCTGGACACAGCACCTTCTTTGTTAAGCGTTAACTAATACGAACAGCTCATAAAATACTTTCTTTCTTTTTTCTTTTTTTTTGGAGGGGGGTTATAAAACCCCATCTCCCTCATATTTAATGTTAAACTTACTTTCTTATCTACACTCTAACTTCACCTTCTTAATAGAAGGCAAGTCACAGGCATAATGTTCTTGTGTTTCAAAGATTGGTCAAGAATGATTTCTCCGGGAGTTTGTGAATTGCTTTACCATTTAAAAACTAACATCACAACATCTTAATTGTGCCCGGGGCAATCTTGCCAGTCCGATAGGGATTTAAAAAATATCAGAAAATGGGCTCAGATAGGTAGTGGCTTGGGTGATTGTCACCCAGGATCAGGACAGATGGCTTTCAAGCAGGGGCCTGGGAGTCAGAGTGGGTCCTACCCGCTTCTACTCCTGTGCATACCTCTACTTGTGTGTGTGTGGTTACTCTTCCATTTACAAGGTTCTTTCCTTTGAAACACTTAACCTACATGACCCCTTCTTTTCCTCTCCCTGCCTGACTGTAGCCTCTGACTGTGCAACTTTGGGAGCCAGGGCCAGGCCACCTGGACAGTTGAATGAGCTGTCTTTGCCTTCCCTTGGTCTTTTCCCCCTCAGCACTCCTTCATTCATTATTTCCTCTAATTAAGCATGTCTGCTTCTTTCCAGCACTGGATGGAGGGAAATGACCATGCCACCGACCTTTGGCAGAACTGTAGTAGCATATCCACAAAAACTATCTACCACTGTTTCTCGACATCAACAAATGGTGAGACTGATGTTTTGCCCCCTATCTGGTTCTTATTTCTGTGTATCATGTTTCTTGGAGAAGATAGATAGTTGTTGCCAGGGTGTGACAGAGGCTCATGAATTCTAGATGAAAGGAGGAAGAAGATGTTTCATTGGCTAAACTCAGATTTTGTATGTCTTTCTACAGACTGCTGCCACTAAGCTTACACTTAGAGATTTGTATCTTTACACTGGTGACAAAGAGATTAGTTTCAGTAGAAACTGTTCCTGGATTTTGAGCTTTTTCAGGCTGGCAGTATGTAATACTTTTGATGCTGGGCAGAGGCTGCATCAAGGGGCAATGAGTCAGTCATGCCATTATAGGGGTAAATTACTTCTACCACCTTTTTTATTTTTCAGAAGAAAATTGCTGACCCTGTCACTCTTAACACCCCCCTCATCCGGCAATTAAATATTGTTCAAATGATTCAAGCATTTGCCCAGCTGAGAGTGCGTTCAGCTGTGTATGTTAACAGTATGAACTAACACAATCATTGTTTTTCACTTTCAGCACAGTATTCACTAAATTACAGAAGATATTCCATTTTTATTATAAAACAGGCTTTGTGAGAGATGATTTTATGTACTGTAGGCTAATGTAAGTTTCCTGAGCGTATTTAAGGTGGTCTAAGCTATATTTGTTATATATTTTAAATGCGTTTTAAAATTTAAGATATTTTCAACTTATAAATGTACATTGGGACTAATACTGTCATCAGTTGGGGAAGTTGGAATTTATTTACCAGAATAAATGCCTTGGAGTAGCATCTTCAGCACATTTATTATAATACTTTAGTTTTTGTTAAAAATCTTAGCACACAGAAGCAATAAAGGTGGTATGATGGCTAAAACATAGGCAGATCCCATGGGGACTTTGGATCTATTTGGCGATGGTGTTTGGTAACAGTGTCTCTTTCCAGAAATGTCCTTCTTCCTGCTTTTCAGCAAGGAGTAGTAGGTATAAGAGGGCTTTCCTGACATTCTTGGTTTGGAAGACCAATAAATTCAGCTTTCAATATTTCTGTAGCTACTCACAAATCAAATGTTCCCATTGAAGATGTTATCCCTAATGAGAGAAACAAATTTATATCCAGCTCATCAAAGCAGTCACTGAAATGATCTTACTTCTGGCTATACAAACCAGTTTCCTCACTTGATGTTCCTTCCCAGATGTCCCCTCACTGAGAGTACTCAATAAATAAAAAATGAAGATAACATATATATGTATACATATACATATATATACAACACACACACACACACACATATATATATATAGGTAAAGGTAAAGGTAAAGGCCCTCCCGTTGATCGTCGATTTGCTCGAGCGGGCCCAGTAACGTCTCCATTGGAGACTTTGTTGTTACTGTGTCTGGCATATTGAATACTCTCGGTAGCTTGCCGGGCTCTCCGAGAGGGGCGGAGGAATCGAACTCGGGTCGGCCATGTTGGCCGCGTGTAAGGCGAACACCCTACCCGCTGTGCTATCGCTCCAGCTCCATATATATATATATATATATATATATATATATATATATATACACATCTATGCTTAAAATAGCAATGTAGTAACTAATATGGGGAGAATTGTTAAAGAATCGAGAATCCTGCTTCATGTTTTCCTTTATCTGGGTAAAACATAATAAAGATTTGTCCCCTAATCTTTTCCCTGAGTGTGTAAAGGGTAATGGATGAAAAATCATCCTGGAGGTTTCATTACATATGGCCACAAAGTAAGTGAAATAGTCCCGAGTGTTGAGAATGTGCCCAGAACACTTGCTAATTCCCCAAATCTCAGACAACCCTTGGTGACTGAAATTCCCTGGTGGTTCTTCTTATTTGCTATTGACACCTTGTGGTCACACGTGGTAACAGCCGCAGGGCGGCCTTTCCATGTCGTCCGTGGCTTGCTGAGAAGCATGTTCCTGCGTGGCATTTGACCTTATGGGTTACCATGGAATTTTGGACTTAGGCTTGGAAGGGGGCATATTTGGCGAGAGTTTTGAAACCTGCCAGGATTTCAACAGAACTGAGATGAAGAATAGTTAATTTGTGCTCAAACTGTCTCGTGTAGGAAGGCAATATTTGATTCAGAGTTGGCCCTCTGTATTCTGTCCTTCTGTGGTTGTAGATAGCTGTTATGCCACACGAACAGCAGATCTCAAAGAGACATGAGTATTACTTTAACCATCTCACAACTGACTGGTTAGACTTAGCTTCTTGGATTCACTTGCAATGACTGGGATCTTTAGCGTAAGTTCCAAATCTGCATGCTTGTTTTCCATGGGGATACCTTGTAATGTGTTATACTTAGAATACTTTCTCAGATATAACAATAAGAGTATTCTGAGGAAATCTGGGCATTCCCTTAAGCAACCTAGACTTAAGTTTTTTTCTAGTTGTTTCGATTTTCCCAGTAGTAGTTATCCCTTCTGAAGTCTAGATGTCAGAAGAGGTCAGATGTCAGAGAAGTTGTGTTGCAACTTTGGGTGTGACTGTGGTGAAGTCTCTGACCCTTCCCTTCCCTTCCCTTCCCTTCCCTTCCCTTCCCTTCCCTTCCCTTCCCTTCCCTTCCCTTCCCTTCCCTTTCCTTTCTCACACCCACTGTGCTCAGGGCTTACTCCTCACTCTGTGCTCAAGGATCATTCCTAACAGGATTTGCCTTGCTGGGAACAAGACCTGGTTTTGTCACGTGAAAGTCAAATGGAAAAATACTGTACTGTATCTCCAGCCCTTTCCTTTGCTTTCTCTTTAGATTTAATAATTATTGTGGCAAACAGTAAGTTACATATATATATACACACACATATATTTATAATTTCTAAGTAATTATTGTGGCAAACAGTAAGTTAGATATATATATATACATATACATATAATATATTTATACTTGAAATTTACGCTACTTTAAATCAATCAGGTTTGCTGCAAATCTACCTTTGGTCTGTAGTTGATTTTAAAATATTTGAAATATGATTTTTATTTAGGTAGTCAAAAGTAACTGCTGTTGATATTAATTTGTGAAGAAGACGTTGGCAGTGTGTCATGTGAGAATGCACTAGTTTATATGACCAGCAATTTTTTTCTGAAGCTGCACATTTTTCAGGTTTATTTTTGGGCCACACCCAGTGGTGCTCAGGGCTTACTCCTGGTTCTATGATCAGGGATTACTCCTAGTGCACTCAGGGGACCATATACGGTGCTGGGATCAAACCTGGTTCAGATACATCCCAGGCAAACGCCCTACCTGCTATTATCTCTTCAGCCCCTGAAGGTGCATGTTTCAGTTCATACAGGGCTATAAAACCGCCTGACTCCAAGGGTTGCCTTCACGTGATTTTGTACTAATGCTTTCCGGTACTGTATTAACCACAAAGTGGTTTTGTATCTACAGATTAGTTTAAAGGTGGTATCAGCAGGTTCATATTACAAGTAGATTTAGATTGTTTGCAAATTCTTTTCAGCTTTTTTTTGCCTCCTCAAGTAAATAAATTTAGTTACATACTGGTTGGGCTGGAGCCATAGCATAACAGGCAGGGCGTTTGCCTTACATGCAGTCCACTCATGTTTGATTCCTCTGCCCCTCTAAGAGAGCCCGGCAAGCTACCGAGAGTATTTCACCCGTAGAGCAAAGCCTGCCAAGCTTTCCATGATGTATTTGGTATGCCAAAAACAGTAACAGCAAGCCTCATAATTTGTTGTGAGACATTACTGGTGCCTGCTCGAGCAAATCAATGAGGATAGTGCTACAATGCTACATACTGTTTTCCTCCATTCTGATCCTTGCTGCAGGTGGTGGTGACAGAGGTTTATGGGGCCTTTTTCCTCATGACCTTGTACGGAATGTCTCTCTAGCCTAGGAATGAGAACCTTGTGCCTCAGGAGATAAGTGTGTAGGGATGACTCATTTTGAAGGCAGAGTAGGCCAAGTGACCAAGGAGTGGGGTAGGTGTCCAGCACCAAAGTTCAGGGGAGGAAGTGCAGGGAGAGTCTCATGTAGGAGGTGGAATTTGATTCATCTTTCAACGGATGGTCAGGATTGAAATAAATACAGGCAAAGATACTGTGCTCCAACAAAGCAGTGATGTGACCTGTGTCAAGGGGACAGTGATGCAGGAAACTTAATGGTCCCGTGGTCCAGTTAGGATGAGGATTGGATGATACCAAACAAATTTAAATAGAAGCAACATAAATAAGACTGTTTCTTTCTTTTAAAACAAGTCTAGGTAGGTACTCCAGGAATGATATAACAGTTTCATGAAATTGTGGCGATTCTGGCACTTTCTAGCTCATTTCTTTGTCATCTCTTCAGTTTGGTCCTCCTCTTCATGGACCAGAAGATTACAAGAGCTCTATTTATCTCAGAGGGTGGAGAAAGGATGTTAAGAATGTGTACATCGCCCTGTCTTTTGGTAAAATAGTTTCAGATAAACTACACACTTCTGTTTCTTGTACTGGAACTTAGTCATAACCATGTCTTGTTGCAAGGAAAGGTAAAAGTGTAATCACTTAGCATAGTGGAAACGTGGCTTCTGAATTTGTAGACTTTGGAAACACTTCTCTCCCAGCCCCCTTTGAGTGCCACCTTCAAAAATAATCCATTAGATTATTTTTCAATAGAAGTTTCAGAGAAGGGTCTAATTTTTTTTTCAGGAATCTTCATATATTCCATCACTGCAGCATCCTGGGCTCCCTTGGTACTCTCACTATTGTTACAATGATCCATATAAGAAACTGTAGAATCCTTAGTTTTCTCTGTCTCTCTCTTCCCATCTCAGTCATTAACAAATTCTCCTGATGTCTATTTAGTCTTTTTTTCTCCCTGCCTTGACATCTCTTTACTTTATATCAAGTTACCTACCAAATAATTCAAGGGAGGTCTCAGAGTCACCCCCAAAGTAGTCAGCCTTTAGCTTCTTAAACCAAATCTACTCTGCTGACTGTTTCCAGAGTTTTAGTAAATACTACCAGCTGGCGTTGC